TTAAACAAGAGGAGGGTAATTTTAAATTAATTTATATTAGGAAACTTTTTATTAGTAAGGATTGTATTTAAAAGAACATGAGAGGCTAGGGTTAGGACATGCATGAATTGGAGTTGTTCTCTTGGAGTCTTCTTGGTTTCTTGGGCTCTAGATCCAAAGTCTAGAGATTGGGAGAGACGATCCTCCTCTCGAATTGAGGATCAATTGTATCTTGCTTGGAGTTTGTTTTCCTTTGTTTCTACTATTGCAATCTATCGTTCTTAAATTGATTTCCTCCAGATTTTCTGTTTTTCTCGCTGTTTTGGATTGCTAGGATTACTTGCGAACTCCAGTATTTCCTATCAGGAACACAATTGGAACAATATAGAAAATAATTTACAAGAATGGAACAAGGGCTTCCTATTTAAGGTTGAAGCCTCTGCTCCATGTATTTATGGCTGTACTATAAGGAAAAAGAAGACTTAATAAGTAAGCTAAAAGGAAAAAAAAATTGCTGGAAGACAGATGTGAAAGTTGGACATTTCAGTTACAGCATCATACCACAGTGGCACTATCTACTGGCTGTTCTTCTTGAAAGGGGTCTTGACTGCTCACAAGTTCCTAAAGACAATTGTTTTTATAGGTCAGGTCTAACATTTTTAAATAACCCAGCTACTTATTTCCATCACATTATCAAAGATATCATGTTAGTTGCAAACCTTTCTTGACTTAATATGGTATACATTCTCAAGAGAAAGGTAGCCTTCCTGCTAAAAAAAAAATTAATAATGAAAGAGAAAGAAGCCATAAATAGATAATTGGGCTAAAAGCAGTGGAGGTGGTTAAAAATATCACCGACATTACATGAAATACCAGCAGGTATCCTTTTAAAAGGTATCCAAGTCCAATTTGGAAGAGTAGTATTTGCATTCTGCCATAGTTCACAAAGTGACTTTGCGGCAACATAAAAATCATCTGCGGAGAGAGATCCATCATGTATACTCTGATCACCCATTTGCAGTCGAGCGCCTGCTTAAAATTAAAGCATGGACAGATTCAGTCAAGAAGGTTTCTCATGCAAAACGTAGAAATTATCACAGCACAGCCAGAATAAGTCATATTACTTGTATTTCCTGCAGAAATCTACATCCCAAATTACAGCAAAAAAAAAAAAAATTAACTCTTCATGCTGCAAAGAT